TAAGAGAAAGCACCAGAGGAAGTGCAAAAGAAGAAGAAAGCCCCAGCTTTCGTTCCTCCTCCTTACAAACCGCAACTTCCTTTTCCTGTTCGATTCAAGAAACAACAGCTTGAGAAAGCTAGAGCCCTGTTCGATAAGCAAATAAAGGAGATTGATATTACAATGCCCTTCTTGGACGCCTGTATGCTTATCCCTCCCTATCAGAAATTCCTCAAGGACGCTGTAACCGAGAGGAGAAAAGAGGTTCAGGGCATGGTCGTTCTTTCTCAGGAATGTAGTGCAATCATCACTAGGAAAGTGGTTGGGAAGAAGTTTGAAGATCCGGGCAGTTTCACTCTTCCTTGTTCTATTGGTCCTCTGGCATTCAACCGAAGATTGTGTGATCTTGGAGCAGGCGTATCTGTAATGCCACTCACGGTAGCTAAAAGGCTTGGGTTCGAGAAGTATCAAAAGTGCGACGTTTCCTTGGTACTTGCGGATAGATCAGTACGCATCCCAGTGGGTATGCTCGAGGACTTGCCTGTGCGAGTAGGAAACGTGGAGATACCCACTGACTTTGTTATCCTTGAGATGGACGAAGAACCCAAGGATCCGCTGATCTTGGGAAGGCCCTTTTTGGCAACCGCCGGAGCTATCATCGATGTTCAGAGAGGAAAGATTGAGCTAAACTTTGGAGATGACTTCAAGCTCAGCTTCGACATCAAGAGATCGATGAAGAAACCAACCATTGATGGACAGCTCTTCTGGGTAGAGACTTTGGATCAGTTGGCAGACGAGTATCTAGAGGAGTTAGCCACAGAGGACCAGCTTCAGCTAACCTTGACTGAGAAAGTGGAGGAAAAGAGCTACTTCAACACCGAATCCTTGGAGTATGCTCGACTCTTAGACTCCCACAGAGGGACTGTTCCCAATGACGTGGTTGAGGAAATCATAGGACGCTCCGTGAGAGTTGAGGAAATCCACAAGGTAGAGGCAGAGCACGACCTCGAGCAACCTTCAGACGATGACTGGAGCGAGCTCAAAGCCCCAAAGGTGGACCTCAAGACCTTACCAGATGGGCTAAGGTACGCATTTCTTGGACCAAATTCAACTTATCCCGTAATTGTGAACCAAGAACTTACCCCACCCCAATTAACCTCCCTCCTTAATGAGTTGAGGAAGTTCAGGAGAGCAATTGGTTACTCTTTAGAGGACATCAAAGGCATATCTCTTGAGCTTTGTACTCATCGCATTCACCTTGATAACGAATCTAAGGGATCTATTGAACACCAAAGACGCTTAAATCCCAACCTCAAAGAGGTGGTAAAGAAGGAAATCCTTAAGTTGCTTGACGCCGGCGTGATCTACCCTATCTCGGATAGTACTTGGGTCTCGCCGGTACACTGTGTGCCCAAGAAAGGTGGAATCACAGTAGTCAAGAACGAAAAAGACGAAATGATCCCAACCAGAACCATAACCGGTCACCGAATGTGCATAGATTACCGAAAGCTCAATGCGGCGACTAGGAAGGATCATTTTCCACTGCCTTTCATCGATCAGATGCTTGAGCGGTTGGCAAACCATCCTTTCTATTGCTTCCTTGATGGCTATTCGGGATTCTTTCAAATCCCCATCCACCCTAATGACCAAGAGAAAACGACCTTCACATGTCCCTATGGAACTTTTGCCTATAAACGTATGCCCTTTGGATTGTGTAACGCTCCGGCGACTTTCCAAAGATGCATGACGTCCATCTTTTCTGATTTAATTGAGGACACTGTTGAAGTGTTTATGGATGACTTTTCTGTCTATGGCAGTTCCTTTGTGTCTTGTTTGTCCAACTTGTGCAGGGTTCTCAAGCGCTGCGAGGAGACGAACCTAGTGCTCAATTGGGAGAAGTGTCACTTTATGGTCAGGGAAGGGATCGTCTTGGGACACAAGATATCAGAAAAGGGGATAGAGGTTGATCAAGCAAAGATTGAGGTGATGAGTCAGCTTGCTCCACCAAAGACAGTCAAGGACGTGAGAAGTTTCCTTGGGCACGCCGGTTTCTATCGGAGATTTATCAAAGACTTCTCCAAAATAGCTCGCCCTTTGACACGCCTCTTGTGCAAGGAAACTGAGTTCCTGTTTGACGAAGAGTGCCTTAAGGCATTTGAGATGATCAAGACTGCCTTGGTCACGGCCCCGATTGTCCAAGCACCAAACTGGGACTACCCTTTCGAGATCATGTGTGACGCTAGTGACTACGCCGTGGGAGCTGTGCTTGGCCAGAGGATAGACAAAAAGCTCCACGTGATATATTACGCAAGCAGAACCATGGACGATGCCCAAGGACGATACGCAACAACTGAGAAAGAGCTCTTGGCAGTAGTCTTTGCGTTCGAGAAGTTCAGAAGTTATCTTCGTGGGTTCAAAGGTGACAGTCTACACTGATCATGCAGCCTTGAGACACCTGTTGGCAAAGAAGGACACCAAGCCACTGCTCCTGAGATGGATACTTCTTCTCCAAGAGTTCGATCTCGAAATTTTGGATAAGAAAGGGGTTGAGAACGGAGTTGCGGATCACCTCTCGAGGATGAGAGTAAATGAACCGGCACCTATCGACGATACTCTGCCTGAGGAACAGCTACTCTTGGTGGAAGGTCTGGGAAGAAGCGTAGGCTTAGCAGTTCGGTTAGAGCAGTTAAGGCAGTTGAGGAAAAAGAAGTGCCTTGGTATGCAGATTTTGCCAACTACTTGGTGTGTGGAGAAGTGCCAAGCCGACCTGTCTCCTTACCAGAAGAAGAAATTCTTCAGGGACATCTCACATTACTTTTGGGACGAACCATACCTGTATTCAAGAGAGGATCAGATGGTCTGTTTAGGAGGTGCATAGCTCAGGAGGAAGTAGAAGGAATACTCGAGCATTGTCACGGATCGAGCTACGGAGGTCACTTTGCGACTTTCAAAACAGCTTCCAAAGTTCTTCAAGCCGGATTCTGGTGGCCAAGCCTTTTCAAAGACACTCACGACTTCATTGCAAGGTGTGATAGATGCCAACGAGAAGGGAGCATTTCCAAGCGCAATGAAATGCCACAAAACCCGATACTTGAGGTGGAAGTGTTTGATGTATGGGGCATCGACTTCATGGGCCCCTTTGAGCCACCTTCTCATGGGAATAGATACATCCTAGTAGCAGTTGACTATGTGTCCAAGTGGGTAGAGGCAATCGCTTCCCCAACGAACGATGCCAAGGTTGTGCTCAAGCTGTTCAAAAGCATCATCTTCCCGAGATATGGAGTGCCAAGGGTTTTAATAAGCGATGGAGGAAGCCACTTTATCAACAAAGTCTTCGAAACTTGCTGAAGAAGTATGGAGTCAAGCATAAGGTAGCGACACCATACCATCCTCAGACAAGTGGTCAAGTGGAAGTGTCGAACAAGCAGATAAAGGGGATCCTCAGGACGATTGTGGGAGTCACCAAGAAGGACTGGGCAGTTAAGTTGGACGACGCTCTCTGGGCTTACAGGACCGCCTATAAGACGCCAATAGGAAGGACACCTTTCTCGCTCCTTTACGGGAAATCGTGTCACCTTCCGGTGGAGATTGAGTACAGAGCACTCTGGGCAATCAAACTGCTCAACTTCGACATCAGGTCTGCCCAAGAGAAGAGGGGTTTCGACTTACACGAGTTGGAAGAGATCAGGCTGGACGCATATGAGAGCTCCAAGATTTACAAAGAACGGACTAAGGCATTTCACGACAAGAAAATTGTGCCTAAAGTCTTCAAGGTTGGAGAATATGCGCTGCTTTTCAACTCAAGAGCTAAGTTGTTCCCTGGGAAGCTCAAGTCCAAGTGGTCGGCCCGTTTGAGATTAAGGACGTCCTTCCTTATGGAGCTGTCACTTTGCTTAACCAGAATGGCGAGGAGTTCACGGTGAATGGCCACAAGCTCAAACCGTATTTGGGCCAACGCATTCAAGGAGAAGGAGTCTCAACTCCTCTTCCGGACGCTCCCTTAGCCTAAAAGGTTATGAAAGTCAAGCTATGGGACTCAAAACAAGCTCACTTGGGAGGAAGTCCCATGGTTATCTTTGTATATATTTATTTTTGCTTAATCTTTCTTGTTTTAGCTTTTATAAGTGCTCAGGTGTATAGATGAAGGAAGTGTTCGGTCAGCCTGACGATAAGCTTGAGCAAACTGATCAAGAAGAACGATGCAACGATTTTTGAAAAGACTTAGGCCCTTTCTCAAAAATCGTTGCCAGGTAAGCCCATCCCTGTTTATAAGGCCCAAATGAAAACAGTTTTTGATCGAGTTTTATCCGGAATTTTGTCTCGGTTTGAAAAGAAAAAGAAAAAAAAAAGGAGAAAAAGGAACGTGGGAGAGAGAAAGTAGTCAATTGGGGAAGTTGTGATTTGACAGCGGTTTTAATCCAAATCCTTCCCGATTTTTCCGCAACCCCATCTCTCTCTTACTTTACCTTTTACAAAACCGAGACAAGCCAAACATCTCTCTTTCATACTTCTCCTTTTTCCCGATTTGTGAAAAGAAAAATCTCCATCTTTCTCTCTACTATTTCGCTCTTTCTTCTTCACTTTCAAACCGTTTTCTGCGCTCAACCGGTAATTTCTCCGACTTTGGCTAGATTTCGCTTTGATTTTCGCTTAGTAGAGGTAGATTTGTTTCGGGTTTAGGTTGAAAGAGAGATTTTGAGTTTGGATTTTTGAAAACTGTTTTGCATGTCTCTGTTTTTCCGAGATTTGAGTTCACCGCCGGTTTTAATCGACCTTTTTAGTTGAGATCTGTCTAAAGCTTTGATTTTTATCTTGAATCTCAACTTGCTTGATCTGTTTCTTCTCTAAGCCTTGCGAGTGACATTATTTGGCTAGAGAACTTACTCTGTTTGTGAGTTTTTGTTTGTTCCACAGGAACAATGGTGTCCACAACAAGAGGAACTCTCTCGAGAGCCGCGGCGGAGAAGGCGGAAGGAAAGAAACCGGTGACAGAGGAAGGCTCAGGCAGTAGGAAAAGCGGATCCGAGGTCATGAAGAGCAAGGACTACGCCGAGATCTTCGACCAGATGTCTTTCGTCGGGACGAGATACCCTGACCTGACGACATGGCAGAGCTAGGGATCTCTCAGGACTGTCACTACCTCTTCGATGAAATGCAGCTTACGAGGCTGATGATGAACCCTCTGCCCGCATACAGAAGGAAACCATCGAGTTCCTCTCCACTCTCCGAGTTAACTTCTACGAGCCCGTGATGTACTTGCATTTTACATAGTTTTAGCACATCTTTTATGCATCTTTTGCATAGTTTTAGCTTTCATTTGCATCATATCTTGTTCCTTTTCTCTTCTTATGCATTCATGTTAGTTTAGGTTGCATTTGCATACATATGCATGTTTGGTCCTTTGAAATAGGTCTTTTGGAGCATTATGGAGCATATGGGACACAAGGAGCATGGAGGGACTTGGCGCATGGAAGCAGCTCAACTGGATACGCAAAGGAAGAAGGGAGAAGTCATCTTGAAGACCAGCTCGACCGTCCACTCGACCGGCCAAGCTTCAACTCGATCGAGCTGGGAAGTCAAAGTCAAACCCGAAAAATGTTGCTTCCCCCTTGACTTCCCTTTGACCCTAAACCTAATCCTCTTTGTATTTAAAGGCTCTTAGCCACGAAAAAACCACCAAGCTTTAGATTACTTTTATTATGCTTAATCCTTCTATTCGGGTTTGTTTGTCTTTAGGTTAGCCTTTAGTTTAGCATATGAAACCTCTAATCTATCCCATCTCAAACCCCAATGGGTAACTACTCACTACACATGAATGTAAACACAAGCAAATGCAATAAAAGAGACATCATAAGAAAGAGGAGATGAAATAAACAACTTTTATTGAAATAAGCAAGTGCAAATACAAGAGAGATTATCCAGGATCTAAGGATTCAAGAAGCAAGAGCTTCAAGAACACAAAGATGGATTAGATCTCTAAAAAGTAAAAGTACAATAAATTAAAAGAAACTAAAACAAAATAATCTAAAGCTTGGTGGTTTTTTCGTGGCTAGAGCCTTTAAATACAAAGAGGATTAGGTTTAGGGTCAAAGGGAAGTCAAGGGGGAAGCAACATTTTTCGGGTTTGACTTTGACTCAGCTCGATCGAGTTGAAGCTTGGCCGGTCGAGTGGACGGTCGAGCTGGTCTTCAAGATGGCTTCTCCCTTCTTCCTTTGCGTATCCAGTTGAGCTGCTTCCATGTGCCAAGTCCCTCCATGCTCCTTATGTCCCATATGCTCCAGAATGCTCCAAAAGACCTATTTCAAAGGACCAAACATGCATATGTATGCAAATGCAACCTAAAACTAACATGAATGCATAAGAAGAGAAAAGGAACAAGATATGATGCAAATGGAAGCTAAAACTATGCAAAAGATGCATAAAAGATGTGCTAAAACTATGTAAAATGCAAGTACATCAACACCCCCAAACTTGAACTTTGCTTGCCCTCAAGCAAACAAATAGAACAAGAAAGAGATGAGGTTTGAAAAAAGCTGATTCAACACTTAAAAACATGTCCTCAAAAGCGATTTGCTAAATGTCCAACTTAGAGATTCTAGAATGCAACAAGGTGAGAGATATTCATTAAGATTTAACCATGCTTATCAACATCAATCCCACTTCACAGTCACTCAAACAATGCATTCAAATCAGCAAATCCCTTTAACATTCATTAAGCAAAAACAGTGAACCAAAAACATGCAAGATCAATCAACTCATTTGGTTTCAAGGGTTTATGGGTTAAGAGACAAAGAGGGTCTCTTTTGTATGGTGGTTTAGTAACAGGGATCTCTCAAGAAAGTGGCTTTGCTTTGGCAGAAGGCTAAGTGTTAGAACCAAAGATGATGCAAGAACAGCAGCTCGAGCCGCCTAATCCTAACTCGATCGAGTTCAACACTTAGAGCTTTTTAGAACAAAATCCTAACTACCCTTTTTGGCATTTCGCCTTTGAAACTGAGGAGCTTTGCTCACTTTTCTTTTAAGAACTTCCTAGGGAGAGGCTTCTTGAGGTAACATCTAGCGGTTTGGGATTTTCTAAACACTTAGGGAACTTTTCTTTCCTTTTTGGACACTTGAGGCTTTGCCTTCTTTTCATTCTACTTAGAACCCTTTTTACTTTCTTTTTTAACTTCCCAAACCTTTACTAGACCCTTTTAAACACTGCCAACTCCCTGGACTTAACCAAACTCTTTTTCCTTTGGGTTTTTCCCAACTTTTACCACTTTTCTGGTTTTTACACCCAACTCGATCGAGCTCGAGTTGGCACCCCCAAACTTAGCCTGAAAACAATCCCAAGAGAACTAGACAACTAGAACTACTGCCCCTGCCGGTTTAAACACAACACCTTATGCTAAGCAAAGCCAAGAAAGGTTCTCACATTCGCACAAGAGATAATAAGGGGTTTGAAATGAAAAAGGCTTAGGTTTAAGGTGTGGTAACTGTCTCAAAGATAGAGATCAGCTATCTGGACAAGCAAAAGGGATATGAAAATAGGTAAAGAATGTCCAGATATGTATGTGGTAGCCATGAGTTGAAATCAAATGCAAGCATTGGTAATTAAAGATCAAGTTATGGTTCAAATAGATAGGGAAATGCATCAAATCACAGCAATGGTTGAATGAGATGTGCATGCAGCGATATGATCAAGATAAACATGGTTCTTGCTGCTCAATCAATCTCACCCTAATGCACAAAAGAATCTAAAAACAGGGCACTCAAGAAATCGCAAAAGATGACAAGTTTTCAAAGTCAAATCAACAATGCAAGTGAAAAATGCAATCCTAAACAAGTCTAACAAATATGAATGCAAAAAGATGAAAATATTTTTGGATTTTTTGAAAATTTTATGATTTTTTTGGTTTTTCTATGCAAAAGATAAATGAAAAACTAAGAACAAAGAAAACAAGGTTAAATCATCTCTTGAACCCTCCCCCAAACTTAAATCACACAGTCCCTTGTGTGAGAAAAATTTAGTGAAAGATTCAAGAGGGCAAAACCAAGAAAAAACAAGAACAAATGCAAGAAAATATGAAATGGTATATACAAGGGTTGGTGTTTGGATACCTCAGTGCCCCCAAAGAACTGGGAGACTAGGTCGTGGTCTGGAGATGGGAGACGGCCATCAGGAGCACTCCATGCAACTGGGGTTGCCTCTTGTGGCTCACTCGATCGAGCTTGCGGCTCCTCTTCCTCTTCTTCATCAAAGTGTGTGGCTTCCTTGGCCTTGGTGGAGCTGGCTAGCTCGACTGTCCATAGGGGTTCCATCTACTGGGAGAGTCCTGGTAAGGCATGGGATCGTATTCAAATCCCGGATCCTCGAACTGGGGCTCCTCCAGGTCAGCTCGACCCTCAGCTCGATCGAGTTGAGTTTCCTCTGTTTGGACTCGATCGAGTCCGGTGGTCGAGCTGGAGCGTCTGGCCTTGGAAGTCTTCCTCCTTCTCTGCGTGTTGTCTTCTCCTTCCCTTGGCTCGAAAGAAGAGGCTCTGTGAGGCTCTTGGGCAGGGAGCCTCCTTGAGTGGTGAGGAGTGACCTACTCCTAGGGAAAGTGGGGCCTTGGGTGCCTTCTTCTTCTTGCTTGAAGAACCAGAAACTTTCTTCTCCAAACTCTTGATCTTGCTCACCATCTTATCCATGGACTTTTGCATCTTCTCATGGCTTTCCCTTGCCACTTGTTGAACTTTTGGAGAAGTCCAATCCTCTTGTGGCAGCCACAACAGAGGGGTTCATCCTTGGAGCCTCATACTCCTCAAAGTAATAGCACTCAGGCTCACCCAAATCAGCTTTCCTGCACTCCATCTTCAGCTTGAGCCTCAGCTCGATCCTCAGCTCGATCGAGCTCGATCTCTTCTTCTTGCAAATCTGCTTCATGCCCAACTAAAGTGTACACAGGGGGTCTGAAATCAATGTTTGTACCTCCTAGGACCGTGGTGAGCTCAGGGTTGGGCAGAAGAAGCTTGGAGAGTCCAGCCGTGGGGTGGGTGAACTTGAATTGGAATCTCCCATCCAACTCCTTGTGCTCAATGAGGAGGTTGGTCTTGCAAAACTTGATGTCCATCCAACCTGGTGGAGTAGACCTTCTCTTGTCCACTTGAACTCCTGCTGCACAAAGAATTGGTGTGATCACCCCTCCAACACTAAGCTTTCTTCCTCTTTGGTGCCTAGTGTTGTAAGCTGTGACCTTGTAGGCTTGGAGCTGCTCAAGGAGAGGCATGAGATTCCCTGCGTGTGCCCTGTCTCCTCTGATCTTCTTCCCATCCCTGTTCGTGAGATGATAGGCTTGATTCCCATGTCAAGGAGCTTCACTTCTCCCTCATTGATTGTTCCAGTGGCTTTCCTTGCAAAGAAGGTGTTTGCAAGAGCCTTGTGGACATATCTAAGCACAGGACTTCTGATCTGGGCAGCCTTGGACCTTGAGGAAGAGTACCCCTCTTCAGCTATTGTAGCCCATACTCTTTGGAGTTCTTCTTCCTTGATGTTCCATGGTTACCTTCTCCATAGGTGAACCCAAACAGTATCTCAAGCTGCCTAAAGGTCACCATCTTCTTCTCTCCCTTTGCTAGAAAGTTATGTACCCCCAGCCTTGGTCCAACTCAGCTCGATCGAGCTCATCAAACTCGTGATGCTTCATCGACGCCAAAAACTCACAAGTCAACTCCTTGTAAGACTCCATGCGGTGAGAGAAGAACTTCCCCAATTGCATGTTCTTGAGCACCAACTCCACATCCTCAAAGATACCAAGATCTCTCATGGTGTCATCGTGTGGGTGCTTGGTCTCCACAAAGTCCATGGAGAAGAGAGCATGTAGTGCTCTTGGTACATGGGGAGCTCATCCTCCTCTTGCTCTGCCTCAGCCTCTTCCATTGGCTCATCTTGGTTCCCCTCTTGTCATCTTCATCAACCAATTGGTTCACCTCTTCTCCTTCCTCTTCACTCTCAGTTTCCTCACTCCTTCCTCATTTGGAGAGCCATTTCCCCCTCTTGAACAAGGTTCACTCCAATCTCAAACTCCCCTTGCTCACTCTCACTACTAATGGGTCATTCCTCTTCTTGGTTCTCCTTTCTTCCCTCAATCTCTCACTCTCAGACTGTTCCCCTCAGAGTATACATATCCCTCTGCATCAGACTCTTCCATCCTCTGATCCATCTCTCCAAATCGGCTTGCATCTTAAGCCTTCTCTCTTGCATTGCTTGATTCACCCTCAACCATTCTCCTCTGTGAAGCGCGGCTTCCCTCACTGTTTGTCATCCTTGTTACTCTGTTTCTTCACTAAAGTACCTGAAATGCATCAAAGATTACAAAGAATTAGAGTTGCAATGATCGGTTTGGTCAACTTGACACCAAGCAATAATTGAAATCGAGATGGATGAATGAAGGGTTTTAGGGTTCATACCTTGTTGAATGAGAAATTGAAGAGCAGTAAACAAAAACCCAAGCAAAACAATTGAAGAACAAAGAGAAATCGGAAAAATTTAAGAGAGAAAGATTGGGAATTCGAAAATTTCTTGTGGTGAAGAGAGAGATGGATGAGTTTCAGAAATTTTAAGATTGTGGGAGAGAGAGAGGGTGGATTCGATTGAGTTATGGGGACGAGTTGAGACAAACAAAGCTAAAGGTGACGACTTTAACAAGATAAAGAGAGAATTAGGGTTCAAGACAGGGTTTTGCAATCAAAGGAATCTACACTTAATCAATCTAGCTCTTAAAACTCCTTGTATCAAGGCTTCTCTTGATATTGGGCTTCTCAATGCCTAGCCAACCCTTTCCCAAGGTGGAGGCTATCAACCAAGGAATGATCTCAGAAACAGGGGGTTAGCCAGTGAGAATCAAACCTTGGAGGCTATAGGATCATTGCCCAAACTAATCCATCCAACCCCTTAGACCTCTATGTCTAGAGCAAAAGATATTGGAGCTCTTAGTGGATCTTTTCCAGCGAATGCCATCACTTTCGTGTGGGGAGTCGCCTAAGGACTTACAAGCCAGGGTAGTGGTCATGTAGCCTTGATACAAGGAGTTTTAAGAGCTAGATTGATTAAGTGTAGATTCCTTTGATTGCAAAACCCTGTCTTGAACCCTAATTCTCTCTTATCTTGTTAAAGTCGTCACCTTTAGCTTGTTTGTCTCAACTCGTCCCTAAACTCGATCGAGCTGGTACTTTGCTCTACTCGACTCGAGTCTTGGTCGAGCTGACACTTCACTGCTTTATTTACTTTTATTGCACTGCTTTTCATTTTTTTAGGTTGTTAGTGTTACTTCAAATCTATACTGCTTGCTTGACTTTCTGGTTGTTTCATATTCTCATAGAGTGACAAGTTTCCCATTTTGGATTGATAACCTCTTATACTTCAATGACTATGATGGTTAAGAGGAATTGATTGATGTGTGATTGCATCTTACCATTCATCTTTATACCACTGTTTGCATTCCACCTCATTTCATATCACATCCACACACAAATCCTATCATCAATTTGGCGCCGTTGCCGATTTGGGAATATTTTTGTTGCATTTGAGTTTCAAACACACTTGGACGATCAAGCTATACCACCCCTGTTCTATTGTACTGCTGGGTTTTTGTCTCTTTTTGCAGGTGTATGCGAACTCGATCGAGTCGGTCTACAAGGACTTGGTCGAGCTAGACTTACAACGGGTAGAAAGAGGGTTCAGAGGTCACAGAGGGTACAAGAGGAACCTGAGGTGCTTGTTGCTGATACAATGGATGTACCAGAGGGGAATGGAAACCCTTTGGGAATGGACTCGGTCGAGCTAGGCAAACTCGACCGATTGGTCAAGGAGATGCTCCAAACCGCCACCAACAGAGACAAGGGATTGTTCCACCACCAGTGCAGAACCACAACTTTGAGATCAAGCTGGGAATGATCAACCTTGTCCAGAACAAGATGTTCCATGGATTGCCAAGTGAAGACCCCATTGACCACCTTGATGAGTTTGATAGGCTTTGTGATTTGACAAAGATCAATGGTGTCTCTGAAGATGCCATCAAGCTGAGACTCTTTCCTATGTCTCTAGCTGACAAAGCTCACCAATGGGAGAAGAGCTTGCCCCATGGCACAATCACCACTTGGGATGAATGCAAGAAGGCCTTTCTTGCTAAGTTTTTCTCCACCGGTCGCACAGCCAAGCTTAGAGGAGAGATATCCAGCTTCATCCAGCGAAACAATGAGACATTCGCAGAGGCTTGGGAGAGGTTCAAAGGCTACACAAGTCAGTGCCCACACCATGGATTCAACAATGAATCACTACTCTCCACTCTTTATAGAGGATGCTTGCCTAGGTATAGGGAGATGCTAGACACAGCTAGCAATGGGAACTTCCTCAACCAGGATGTAGATGATGGCTGGCAACTTGTGGAGAACATAGCTAACTCAAATGGAAGCTATGGAGAAGAGTATGATCGCACCAACGGAGCTCGACCCACCACTCGATCGAGTCAGACGAAAAGTTGAGAAAAGATGTTAAGGCATTGAATGAGAAGTTGGATAAGCTGATCCTAGCTCAGTCCACAATGAAGAAAGTCAACTTTGTGTCTGCTGAGGAGATGGAACCAGTCCAAGAAGGGGAGGATACACAATTTGCTGAGGTGTGCTACATGAGCAATGGGCAAGGAGGTTACAACAAAGGATACTATAATTACAAGTCCAACCCTGCCATGTCATACCGCAACACTGATGTTGCTAACCCTCAGGACCAAGTATATCCTCAACAACAAGCAGCTCGATCGAGTCAGGTGCCACAACATGGGTATGGTCAAAAGAACAATTACCAAGGACCACAAGGCACTTTCCCTGGACAACAAATGAATATCCCACCAGGCTTTCCCCACCAACCGCCCCAGCCTGCACCTTCACAAGAGAATGAGCTCAAGGCAATGCTAAAGCAACTACTTCAAGGGCAAGCTGATGGGGTAGTGGACACAAGCAAGAAGCTAGCTGAAATAAACTCAAGATCGAGAACCTCAACACAAGGGTTTACTCTCTGGAGAATCATGCTTCTTCTGTTGCTGCTGCTACAAAGCAAGGACAACTACCTGGTAAAGCTATTCAGAACCCCAAGGAACAGTGCAAGGTCATCTTCACTCAAGAAGGACTTGTTGAAGAAGAGGATCAAGAAAGGGTCATTGAAGATTTTTGTTTACTGCTGAATGATGAAGAGATTGTTGCTGCTGAGGCTCCTGGAGTCCAGATTGATCAACCAGAAGTGCATGCACCTACTGTGGCCATTCACACTTCACCAGTTGAGCTCGCACGACAAGCTCGATCGGCAGCTCGATCGAGTCCAACTCTAGCTCGATCGAGTCCGACCTCTTCTGTCCGACAGCCTGTTTTGCTTGATCCTTACCAACCGGTTGCCGCTTCCTCGTCTCGCCTACTTAGTCAAGGTCACAAGGAAGTGATTCACAAGTTCAGAAGAGATCTCAGTGGGATTGGAATTGAGTTGCCTCCTATGGATAGCATGAGTGAGGCATTTGATCAAATGCAAATGGTCAAGGATGTTCTGCCAACAGTGATAAAGTTTCAGAGGTCCTACAAGAGTCTACTCATCAGTTCAACCTGCTTACTTCACCCACCTTCCTACCAAAGGTCAAGGATCAAGGGAAATTCACTCTCCCTTGCACACTTGGGCATCTTGAGATTGACAATGCCTTAGTGGATTCTGGAGCAAGCATCAATCTGATCTCTCTCTCCATGGCAGAGAAGCTAGGCATTGCTGGAGCCTTGCAGCGCCCTACTACTTCAATCATGTTTGGAGATGCAACTTCTAAGTCTCCTCTTGGAGTGTTCAAGAACTATCACTTGAAAATTGGAGAATGCATCATCCAAACTGATCTCACTGTGATGGAAATGGAAGAAGAGAAGGATTTGCCTCTGTTATTGGGAACCCCTTTCCTTAGTACAGTTGGCGCTTCAATAGACTTTCACAAGCAAGAAGTGATCCTTCACAAGGTGAATAGTTTGGTGTCATATCGCTTGCAGCCTAGAGGTTCAGACTTTTGTGCCACAATTGACAGTACCAATCTCAGTTCTAAGAGTCATGGAGCTACAAAGGTTGTGAAGGAAAGGGTTGACAAGGAACCAAGAGTTGGGAAGGATAAGGATGAGAGAGGACCAAGGATTGAGAAGCCACGTCTTGAGAGGGCTAGAGTTGAGAAACCACGATCTGATAGGCCAAGAGCTGAGCGACTTGTTCAAGCCCCTTGTGTGCTTGATGAAGAGAGCCTTCAAGCTTTGTTTGATGAGCCACTAGGAAGGGCTCTAAAAGAAGGGGAGGATGCAGCCTCTAAGGCAAGACCAGGAGATAAAAGAAAGGATCCACCAGCTCAGGCCCCTTCAGTCAAGCCATCTCAGCTCACAATGACTTTGTTCCCCACCAAGTTTGAAAATGGGAAGATTGAGTACAAGATAAGGTACAAGGGGAGATCAAGGCCATTCTCTAGAGCCAAGGCCTTGGTGACTTCAGAACAGTCCAGGGACCCAACCAAGCTAAAGGAGCTTCTGTCTCAAGAAAATTTCGAATTTTCAAACTTTTTCTCTCAAGTTTTTGCGATTTCAAGTGTTCACCTTCTTGTTTTGCTTGGGTTTTTGTTTACTGCTCTTCAATTCCTCATTCAACAAGGTATGAACCCTAAAACCCTTCATTCATCCATCTCATTTCAACTTATTGCTTGTTTCCCCTTTGATTTTTGATTGCATGTGTCCCTTGTGGACTTGTTCTTGAGTAATTGCCCTCATATTTCGCCTCTGCTGTATAATCTTGTTAGTTTGTTTCACCTCACCTCTGTTTTGCCTTTAAATTTGTTGCATGTGCTTGAAGGATTGAATTTGAGTTTGGTTTTGGTTAAGATGATTAGTACTTCTCTGTAGTTGCTCATTGTTCCATTTACTAGTTGTTCTTGGTTCAATTTGGTTGATTATCATCTTTTCCAGCTTTTAATCTTGAATTAGGTTTGGTTATACTCTGTTTTCACCCAACTCGATCGAGTTTGTCACTCGAGTTTTTTGACTCGATCGAGCTGGGTGTCGAGTTGACCAAACCGATCATTACAACTCTAATTCTTTGTAATCTTTGATGCATTTCAGGTACTTTAGTGAAGAAACAGAGTAACAAGGATGACAAACAGTGAGGGAAGCCGCGCTTCACAGAGGAGAATGGTTGAGGGTGAGTCAAGCAATGCAAGAGAGACATGGCTTAAGATGCAAGCCGATTTGAGAGGATGGATCAGAGGATGGAAGAGTCTGATGCATAGAGGGATATGTATACTCTGAGGCGGAACAGTCTGAGAGGAGAGAAGCCAAGAAGAGGAATGACCCTATAAGTAGTGAGAGTGAGCAAGGGGAGTTTGAGATGGAGTGAACCTTGTTCAAGAGGGGGGAAATGGCTCTCCAAATGAGGAAGGCAGTGAGGAAACTGAGAGTGATGAGGAAGGAGAAGAGGTGAACCAATTGGTTGATGAAGATGACCAAGAGGGGAACCAAGATGAGCCAATGGAAGAGGCTGAGGCAA